GCAGGATCTCCAGGATCCATGAAGATAAGTGAATCTAAGAAGAGCAGCATGGGTGTGTCACTGAGCTCCTTAAGCTGGTGTTTACAAGGCCAGAGGATAAATCTAGATCGTCAATTCAACTGAAGAGAGTGGTGGAAACAGAACTGGAAAATTTACACTCATTTTGAAGATAAGCCCAAAGCTCTAGAGAAGTTACATGCTTTGGGCTAATCTCCACATACTCCACTCTCTTCTGTCGTAGGGTGGGAAAACGCTGAAAAGCACTGGTGTCATAGAACTGTAATTGTACAGAAAGTCTGGGATGTGAATTCTCAGCTCAGTTCTACTACTGTCTATATGACCTACTCAACCTTCTCAGCTAGACTTTCTAGACCTCCGTTTCCTGATTTGTAAAGTGGAGATAGTCTTTCCTACTGCCCAGGATTTTCTGTGAATTAATGAGATAACATATGGAAAATGCCCAGCACTCAATAACAGGGTCATTCATTTCCTTATTTGTCTCATATAAAGAGGATGGGTGAGATAAAAGAACTCGAAGCTCTTTACTGGTTCAAACAAGAAAGAATAACAAGGACAACTATAGCAGCTACCATTATTAATACCTATTTACCAGATGAGAACGTCATTTAATTATGACAATCCTGTAAAGCCGAGGAAGAGATAAGGAAATTTGTTTAGAGTGGTATTTGATGTGCTTAAGGTCATACATATAATAAGTTACAAAGGTGGAATTTGAACCAATCTGATCTAAAATGTGGTTTCTTTTTCATACAATGTACTACAAGCATATATCAGATGCACAAGAATAGCAGATGTTCTTGATACTTTTAGACATCTCTTCTACTAGGTTTGGTCTTAAAGAGCAATGGATCACATCACTTTGAGCTCTGAAAACAGGGCCACACACAGCCATGATAAAAGTGACCCGAATCCCTCCATAGGAACACACACTTACTTGAGCACACATTTGGTAAAAATATAGCATATATTTTGAAAGAGTATGGCCAGTAGAGTAGCCTTATGTTAGTACTGCTAGCTTGAAGGAAGAAAAATGAGCTTTAAATTTTGAATATTTGCATTCACATTTAGGTTTATGTGATGGAATTATTCTACAGCTCCTCAAAGTTCCAGAAAGGGAGACTATGAAAGAATGAAGGGCTACACACAGAAATTTTGAAGTGTGGGAGATGATTCAGAAGTTATAAGTAGGGATAGCTTTGGAAAGAAATAGAATTTAAGATCTACCAAGACAGATGATATAAAAATGAGTCTACTTTTGTTTCTGAGCAGCAACAGATATACACAGTGATAAGGGGCTATAAATTTGGATTTTCTTCATAATCTAAGGCATGGAACACCCTTAAGAAGGAGTTTTCAATCAATTGCTTCATGAGTATCAAATGATAACTAGATAACATCTGAGAAATAAAGCAGAAGTCACCTTTCAGTTTGAGCCTAAATGGAAAGTGATACATTTAATTTTACTAGCATCTGAAAACACCAACAGGGTGGCCAAAAGGTCCTGATTAAATGAAGGCTACCTTTTATTACTATTTTTCCAGGACAGGGTGCTTAGAAATTCCCCTTCCTAGAGAAAATTGTTTGGCTGCCTTTAGTTTGTATTGGATCATGTTGGACCAAGGTCTGCTGGCAATGAGGAAATTCTGCCACAGAGCTGAAGCCCCAATCCCCTTGACACCATCCTTAGAGGGGAAGAAATGTACAAGTCACTATCGTGGTTCTTATGTTCCCACTGTTGCTAATTTTTCAATCTCTTATCTCTTAGATTAAATAGAGCAAAAGGAATCCCAGTGTGTTATGTCTGTAAAAAAAACCAGGGTCATTCCTATTACCTTGTTTTGGTCAGTTCTCTCTCAGGTAGAAGTAGGATTTTGAAACCATTGCAAGAATCATATCAGCTTGAAAGTGTACCTTTTAGCTTTGTGAATCCCCCCCACTCCTTACCAAAGAATAATTCTTTGTTCACCAATGTTTTCAAACACTGTGGCTTTGGTCAGGGGTGCTGGCTGTGTCTGAATTCCTGAGAATTATCTTTATCCCACTGAACTGGAGCTCAGTACCTCCCAATCCCCTTTTCCACTCCATGACCAAGTTCTTACTCGTATAACTCAGAACTCTGGAAATATGGTGGAATACTGCTTAATGTTGCTTTTCATTTTACAGATAATACTGTGACTCAAAATATGTTTAAATACTTAACTCTATCTAGTAAAGGAACAATATAAAAATAATATGTTTGACTTAAAGACAGTATGCTAGTCTGCTGACTCAACACCAACAAAATAAAGAATTTCCATTTTATTTGTTAAGTGATCTTTGTAAGATTGCCAGTGGCTTTAGGGAGAATAGTTAAATAAAACATACCACTGAAAACAAAAAGAATTTTTAATCAGCTGCTTCATGAATATAAAAGCTGCTTACTCATGATCATGAATCAGAATGCTTGAAAACTCACGGAGGTCATGCAAACCCAAGAAGGTGTCTCTCCGATTCCGAATTCTGGTGGCCTGAGTGAACTGTGACGTGACAGCACAGCTCAAGGGAAAAGAATGTCAGTGGGATGGGATTATCTTTTCCCTGTTTATGCCATAGTCCCAAGGTCCTTGTTTTAGAAGGCGGTTCCTTGGGAAAATGGCCAATTCCTTCAGGTTATTTATTCTCCTTAATGGCTCAGGGTGTTAAGAGTCCCTGCTCCCCCAGATCGGTATTTAATGAGAATGAAAAGATGTTAATCAGTGTCCTGAGGGTTGTGGGTATGTGACTCAACCCGACTTTAAATGCTCCAATTCCTGCTCATTTTGTGCTGGTGATGATACGGAGTGAGCTCTAACAAGTAGCTTATTTATAGGCCTGTTTTTCTCAATGTTTCTGGTGGTAACTGGTCTGAACACAGTAAAAACATCAATATTTCTTAAAAAAATTGTTGTAGGCTTAGTGGATGTCTTTGAAACTAATTATTGCACATTTTTCATATGAACAACTTGGAAAGTTGTCCGGTGACATATGGGTAAAAAGGATTTAGTGCAGGGTTGTAGGAGAGAGATAAGGAAATGGCTAAGATGGTGTTTAAGGAGAAAGGGACCTTAGAGTCACCTAGAGGCATTTACAACCTGTAATATTTAGAACTACGGTAAAGGAAATTTGCTATAAGGGTATAATAATAATACAAATATTTATAAATATTGCTACATTTAAAACAATATTCATGGAGCCGGCGCGTTGGTTAAGAGTTGACTTGGGACACCAGCTCTGAGCAGCAGGACCCTGGTTCGGATCCCACATGAGGGCCAGTGACCCTGCCCTCTACAGCTAAGATGCTGAACAACAGCTCGACCTGGAGCTGGGCTGCCGTGAGTCACCGGCAATGGTGTAGACTGCACTGGGGCTGGCCAGCAGCTGGCATGAGCTTTCGTGAGCTGCCGTGAGTCACCGTCCAATGGCCGGCAAGCAACTGCCTCACCCGGGAAGAGCGCAATGATAATACCAACATGGGCCAGTGAAGCGATGTCCTCCACAACTAGACTGAAGAACAAAATGACAGCAACTTGTATGTGCCCTTTCCCCCAATTCCCCAACGCTGTTCCCCTCCGCCAATTTCCCAATAAAATCTTAAAAAAAATAAAACACAATATTCACAATATATAACAAAGTGCAGGGCTACCTGTCTTTTTAAAAAATTATACCAACCTTAGTGTCTTTTCCAAAGACTTTGGAATGAAAACAAATCCAGTTTTCTGATACAAAGAGCTTCCCCTGGTATAATATCTCTTTTTGTAGAGCACAGGTAAAACCTGGGAAAATACATGCAGGTATAACATCATTTAGAATTTACATTTAAAATGAAAATTCTGTATATATGTCTGTTGGTGACTCAGGGATGGGCAGAGCTAATACACTCCAATACTCAAAAGATCCCTCACTCTTTTTCTGTCATCTTTCGTGGAATGAAAGTATGGAGGCAAGAGTTTGTTTTTTTTTTCCATTCAAAGTCTTAACAAACTTTAGTATCAAAATCAAAATGGAAAGTTAAGTCTGTCATTGCAAATGAAAGTTCAAGAGTGGTGTTTCAAAAATCTCTTCTATTTAGGAAGCTGAGTCACTCTCCTGCTAATGTCAGCACTCCTGCCCCAGCCTACTTCCCTAGGATTGTCACTAATAACTTCTTTTGACATAGATGGGTTAACTGTGAGAAGGGCATGTAACCCACACCTTCCTGATTGGAGGTTATGGCTGGAATCCAGCATCCTGCCTTCACAGTGTTTATGAAGAGAGGCTAGAATGAAACCCTGGGCCCCTGATCAACCACCGCGGAGCACAGCAGGTGCTTAAGTGGCGTGCTGGCAACCTGTTTATGTGACATCATCTCACTCTGCCTTGTGCAGCTGTCAACACAGGTCTGCCCACCTACATCTGTGTTTCCTTTTAGCCTTCTTTTAGTGGCCTCTCTTGCTCCAGGCTTGTGATCCTAAATCTCAGGACAGTCCAAACAATGCACCTTAGCAGTGAATGTGGAAGGTGAGGCTATCATTCTAGAATCATCTTGGCTTGAATCCATATCATATAGAGAGATTCACGTTCCTATTCTACTCTGTTATCTTTCAAGGTATTTGGTGAGAGCTGATTGAAGCTGGCATTATTGTGATGTCATGACTTTTAGAAACCAATCCCGCTTGGTGAATTAGTCCCTGGATCTGCCCTCTTCCTCCCCGCCAAACCAATAAGCACCTTTTCAAATATGTAGCTTAAAACGTCAAATAGGTCAGAACTTACTTTGCCTCAGGGGTTCCTCAGTTGGGACATCAATAAATAGCTTGTGGAAGTGCATATTTGCCTTGTACTGCAGTGAAAACAAAACACAGACGTCACCACTCTCAGGTTGTTCTTTTTTGTGAAACGTCACAAATTTTAACTTCAATTTAAATCACATCACACACTTTCCCTCACTTAGTACAGTATCTTCAGGAATTCCCTCTCTCTAATCTTACAGTCTCCAACACAACCAACCCTTCTGTGAAAAACGGTGGAAGGCAGGGCACAAAGGTTTCATTTTCTAATAAGATTAGTGACCTGGTTGGATGTACATCTGCAGTCACGACACACGTGATGGTCAGCCTTCTGCTGAGGCAGTGAGATAAGGGTGTTCCAATAAGAAATGAGATGACATTCTAAGAAGGACTACCAGGGCAGGTAAGCATCCCAGGGCACTAGAGATACAGGTGAGCACTCTCACGATGGTGGTTCAGACCTTTGTAATCAGATAAACCTGAGTTTAAGTCTCAGCCATCCTTCCTCTTTGGGACGTGATTGTGGCCTAGTCCCTTAACCTCCCTGGACATCAGTGTCATCTTCTGTGCCAGAGGCAAAAACAGCACCTACCCGAGTGTGATGCCATAAGGCTTACATGGGACATACAGCTAAAGGACCTGCTACCTGGTATCATTACTAACACTATTATTGTTTTGTGAAGGCATTTCCTTAGCCAGGGTCGGGGGAGATGTCGGTCAAGACAAGCAGGACTTCTCTCCAGGGTGACAGAACATCTGAGTCTGAAATGCGGCAAATCACTTCATTTTCAAGGCATGTGTCTCTACAGTCTGACAACAACAATGTACAGACCGTACTTCACAGTTTGTAAAATGCTTTCACAAACACTACCCCCACGATAACCTAGGAACTGACGTCCATGGGTCAGGACACTGAACCTCAGGGATCCTGGGTGGGTTAACACAAAGCTACTAACAGGTAGAGCTAGGTCCTCCTACCACAGGCCCACTCTGCCTGACAGGATGCTTTTCCTGAAATAGTCTCATGAGCAGAATAGAGAGATACCACAAGAGCCTACTCAATATTTTATTATCCAAACTGGGTATGGTCTGAACAGCAAAAATGGCCCTACTATTGCCATAAAGAGCTTCAGACAGATGATAGATGGTCCCCTGAAGTTGGCGATTTTACAGATAAACCTATAAAGTAGGTTACCTCACGGTGCTTCCGAGGAGTACACTTTGCATGCAGAAAGCCACCTTGATTAAAGCTAGGTGTTCTATGGGGGCTTTTGCTAAGATTTTGTTAGTGGTTACCATGAGCACTGGTTGCACAATTGATTTAAAAATATCCCAGGCCACGGTCTCTTAAAAAATGTCAATGTAATAAGAGGTTTAAAAAAAAAAAAAAAAGGTAGCAGGACTGATTGAAATTAAAAGCAATATGGCCAATAAATGCAACCCCTGGCTCTAGATTGGATGTTAGGGGGAAACAAATAACCTTTATAAAGGACTTTCACTACTGGGATAAAGGTGAAAATCTGAAAATGGATTTTATATTAATAATCTATTTGTATATTTACTGTTTACTGAAATTTCTTGGGTGTGCCAACAGTGTTTTGTAATAGTTCTTAGGAGACACATATTCAAGTATTTAGAGAAGTGTCAAAAAACCCCCAAACTGTTGGCCCAGTAAGCATGTCACACGCTATGACGCAGAACTGGGCTTTGTTACCGATCTGGGTGTATTTTAGAGCAGAAGCAAAATTATTTCGGAAGAATTATGACCCTGTTCACAGGTTTACCTTCTGTGTGAAGTTGGGTGGCCTTCTATTCACTCAGGCGCCTTATTGGATCCTTTCATATTAGTGCAAGGATGTCACAGTTCTCCTGGGAGTGGCTAATTACTAGACAATCACGTGACTTTGCGCTCATCCCTCCTAGGCACTTGTCAGAGTTAGGGGTCACAGCATGGAGCTCACTACCACTCGATATGTGTTGAAAAGGTCAGTTGTGAAATACAATATTGATGAAAAATCGACTGGAGGAACTTCAGCCTGTTCTTTTCCTAGATTGTCTACAACCTATGCCTATGTTAGTCCTGACCAGCAGGAAGCTGCCTTCTTGGCTCCCTTTTTCCCATTGGTTTAATGCTCCTGTTACCCTCTGAGACAATATACATCTCATCCCCAAATTACCTGGCTGGAAGACGAAGATTTTTTCCTTTCAGTCTTAGAGTCATTTTTGCTTTCTGTTTTACAGTCGTTCTTATCACTTGCTAAAGAGACACCATCAAAACTGGATTTTGACCTGAGGAAAGAAAATCCGGGGAGTCTAACAGAATGAATTTTTTATGCTACTCGTTAATTTCATTGTAATAAATCTGGACTCTTATACATCTCACAAGGAAATCGGGCACATTCGTTTTGCTCTTCTAGACGTCAATCATCTCTCATAACCCTCTAAGGGCATTTACATAGCACATGCTGTAGGAGACAGGGGTGACTTCTGCAGGCTGTCATCTCAAACTACAGACATGGTCCCTTACAGAAGGGAAAAAAATAACAATCTCATGAAAATAATTAGATCATTTCAAAAGTATTTTAATCAGTATAAAGACAGCAGGCCAATTATTAAACAAAATTGCAGCTATTGTTCAATCAAAGAATATGTTTATTTCAGAATTCTATTAATATTTAGCTAGTGTTGACTGAGCAGGGCATTGTGTTACATGCCTTGGGACACACAAGACACTCTTTATCCTTAAGGAACCTGTGTACATCAAACATCTTTTGAAGGCTTATCACAAGAAAAAAAGTTTTTGTAGCTAATATGGGGGTGGATGTTAACTAGACTTACTGTGGTGAGCATTTCTCAATGCAGACACATATTGAATCATTAGGTAGCACACCTGGAACTAATCTAATGTTATATATATATATATATATATATATATATATATATATATATCAATTGATATCAATTGTACTTCAATAAAAAAATGAAAATAAATTAAAAACAAAATTTCTTAGAAAGGCAGTACATGATTTAGCACCAAAACAATACATATGATATCATATCGTATCATATCATAGGCGTTAGGACGCGGTATAAGACAATAAGTCTCACAGGAGGAGAGAGAAGAGGAAACCAATGAGTAATGTGGGTTTCATACATGGGGCCCAAAAGGATGAGCAGGCGTTACGTATGAGGAAAAGTGAGACCAAACCTCCCAGAGTGAGAAAATAGTAGAAGTGAAATCAGGATCAAAGAGGACCTGTTTGGAAGTCAGTCTTTCTTTGTTCTCTCAAGAGCAGAGGTCAGGGCCCCAGGATTCCTTTCTAAGGTGATTCTAGTCCTGGCTCCCCATTTTAGTAGACTTGTAAATTTGCATATATGGTCGTATCTTCAACCCTACAGCTCAACAGAGTCATTTCACAGTAGAATGCATGTATGATTTTTAGAAGTATATATATGAACAACTTTTATGATATGACTATGTAGACTTTTTTGTTGCTGTTTACTAGGGGAAAATGGCACAAGAAATCCATGATTTCACAATATGAATCCTTAGAAGGAGGCTCAGTTAAAAATTCTTTTTGGTTCATAGCTGATTTAATAAGAATCTTAAGCAATTTGGGTGGTATATGGGTGTGTCGGAGGGGCAGAAATGACTGAAGTTAGAGGGACATTAGGTGCTGATTTTCTCAGCTGCGAAAAGATGCACTATATGATGTCCTAGGCCCCTTCTAGCCCCAACAGTTGGAATCTGTGATGCTCAAACCACAGGTAAAATACCGCTCAGAAATTCAAGGTACGTTGATTTGGATTCAGGTACTGGCCACTGAACCTATTCACACATATAAATTTCTTTAGAATTCTAGGAATTACTTTTTTTTTGTAATTATTAGTAAACATTTGTACTCTACTTGAAAAGAAAATGATTTCTTTCAAATGTCAAATGACCTATTATTTGCACTCTCTACTAATTTGAATTTATCAATTCTACTGATTTAAATTAATAAATGTTAATGGAATTGTCAAGGTAATGATCGGACCATTTGAAGATCTACAGACTGGAAGCAAATGTGACAAGTAGGGCATCTGACTCTTGATAACTTCGAGAGCACAAGCAGAAGGGCCTTACTGGCCTTATCTTCCCAGCACTGGCCGAGGTGGTTGGCAGGGAGGGGTGCGTATTTTCAGAGTATTGATTTCTTTGGGTCTTCTGTGTTATCCTCACGTCCCACAAGTGACTATGAGCAGGACCAGAAACCAGTGCAACATGAAAATACGGGGCCCCTTATTCAAAAATTAAGAATTTCCAGACAGCGACAGCAGAGCATTACACCAAGTGCCGAGCTCTTTGAAACAACATGGATCACACGGCCCTATAAAGTTTAACGAGCATGCCCTGATGATGAGTGGGGAAGTTGGAGTAAAACCAACAGTGTTTTAAAAGTGCCTGCTGTAGCCACTCAGTAGTGGTGAAAGATACAAGAAACAACATGCTTTGTGCCTTTGCAGAGGGCCTGAGCTGGTGAGTGACACAGGATGCTCTGACGGGAAACAGGCATAGAAAAACATGGTTAAAAAAGTGAGATGTCAAAACAGGCATGCAGAAAAGGTGAAGAGATAGCTGGGAGCGAGAAAAATCTGAGGGACGAGTGAAGACTCACGCTTGATCCTGCACGAAGCATAGATTTGGAGAGAAGCTGTGGGCTGGGCAGTCAGGAGGGGAGGGAAAGCAGGAGTTATTTGATCATCCTTTAGCAGAGGCGGGAAGACGCAGAAGATAGCAATTCTGACAGTTCTCACAGCAGGGTAGAGAGCGACCATTCCTCCGCTCTTACAGATGATGGCCCTATGACTCGGACCTGACCACTGGCCTAACCACTCTCTTTCAAGGGCTAAAAAGCCACCCTGAAGCGCCTTCTTCCTTCCGTGTGAAAGAAAGCACATAATTGGTGCTTCTGAGAGGGATGGGGTCCACAGCTTTACATCTCAAAACTGCCTGTCTCCCCACAGTCCCACAACCACACCATGGTCACACCACCAGCCCCAAGAGATGGGTGCTCCTCTCTCCAGACATGCACACCCTGCCGGGGAGCCCAGACGGGGTTCCCCTCCGCTCTTTTTTGTGGCAGCCAGGAAAGTGAGACAGCAGGTGTGCACACCCAGAGGCAGAGCAGACATTCCAACCTGGGCGGGCCTCGTGAGGAACCTGGCCAGCAGTCCCAGGTGCTTTATACATCTAAGCTGGAAATCAGGCCACCTGGCTCTATCAGTTAGCAAAATCAGTGCTTCACGAAAGGAGCAGACATGCTGCAGAAGTCAGAGGCCGGAAGGAGAAAAAGATGCTACTAGGAAGAGATGAATGAGGAATGCAAGCGCCAGGAAAAACACACCACTTCTTTCTCAGGGGTGTCATTTGCCTATAGCAGATCCTCACTCTTTTAACAACCATCATAAAACTAGACACAACAGCTCCTCCCAGGAACCTCTCCTCCACCAAAAGGCAAAAAAGAACAGAGAGAGGCTATGTGAGGACTCACCGGAGGCAGATGAGTTTCTTCTGGTCTGGGGACTCGGCCTCGCTGGACGGGGTGGGGGACTGGGCTGTCGGTGACCTGCACACCTTCTTCTTCTCCTCCACGCCATTCTCAGCCTCTGAGCTGGAGAAGAGAGAAAAACGCTTCACCTTAGCCATCCAGAGGTGGGTGGACAGAAAAACAATGAAGTCACGTCGCCTTGTGGAGAGTGGCAAGATCCCTCAGTCCCCACCAACAGGATGAGGTCAACTTGGACAGCTGTGCCCTTCCTGAGACTCCATTCTAACCCCCCTCGGCTGGCTTCGGCTGGTACACATCCGATTTGTGGGGACTTGCTCGCTCCCAGGTCTGCTCCCTGTGGGCTCTGCTCAGCCCTGCCTCGCCACTGGAGTTGCAGATCACCTGGAGGCTGGGAGGGCCTCTGCGCACACTCACTGGGTGCTTTCAGCCAGGTGTGAGCCTTCCTGCTGGGAACCCCCACCGCCCTCTGTTTGTACTTCTCTTATGTCAGTTATCGCCTTTTGTTGTAGTTACTGTGGGTCCCACTTTGGGTTGCTGTTATTTTAACCAAGCACCTTTCTATGCAAGGTATTGTCTCTCTGTACAACCACCCAGGCTAGGGAGGAATTATTACCCCCAGTTTACAGACGAGGAATCTGAGGCACTCAATACTAAGTACCGTGCCCAAGTCTGCAGAACTAGCATCTGTCTGAGTTGGGATTCAAAGTCAGGTCTGTCTTCTGTGAGGCCTTTGTGTACATGTGTTTTCTCTCTCCGCCGCCCCCTCCACTCCCCATGCATCCCTCCATCCCCCCAATCACCTACCTATCTATCCATTTAGCCCCCTTATTAGCTCTTCAGTGTGGGGATGGAAATCTTACTGATTTTTATATTCACCACAGGGTCTAGGATAGTGCTGGTATAGAATCATGATCAATAGGCTTTTGGAAAACTAGATCTGACTTGGTAAAGAGGGAAGAGAAGAGAAAGTAAGTCAAGAGGGTCTAACACGGAACCACGATGCATGGAGGTCGACCAGTGTGATGGGCACAGGAGGGCGCTCCCTCAGCCTCAGGCCCAGAGGAAGCCATTTCCAATGTGGGAAGACAGAGAGAAAAGGAAGGAGGTAAGGAGAATCCAGCTGTTATACATGGATCAGACCCTCCTCCGTCAGTCTGCAAAGCCACAAAACACACTGCTGAGAATGTGAGAACTGCACGGTGGCGGAGCATACAGGAAGACACGTTAACAGAGCGCTGCTATGACAGCTTAGCTAATTTTCATCCTAACTTACCACCCCTTTGATATCTTCCCCTCCAAGTTCACCGCACAGGCAGCAAATGTTACTGGTTTGAGCTTTGTGGTGGCGAACGTCCCACTTTTCAGTCCACACTAGGAGTCTGACTGTGGTACTCAAATCAAGACCAGTCTCTCTGAGACGGTATCCATTAATGATCCCGACTGATGGCTGATGCTCTCATTCTGTACTGAGCATTTGTCGTTTCCTAAGTAGGTAAATATCTGAGGACAGAGGCCCAACCCTCCACCTTCATCAGTTCTTCTCAAAGTACTCAGAGCACTTATGTACAACAACCATAACCATGTACATCAGTCCATAGCCAAATGGCATTATGTGACAAAAGGTACATGAAAAGCTTTGAAATATCAATAGGAAAGCACAGCTTTGGTTTCAAAGAGAGGATTTTATTTAAATTTAGCATCAAGTTGAATTTATGGACTCAAAGAATTTTAGAACTGTTAAGGAGCCTTCGAGCATATCTCTGCCTTTCCCCTCTACCCCCCCAAGACACACACATCACTCCTGTTCTTCAAAAGCATCAGGCAGAAAACCACTGCGAGTCCCTCTTGAAGTAGGGAGATTAAGTGCGTGTGGAACTCCAGTAATCCATCTCAGCATTCATTCAAATATTTACTGCATTTTAGGCAGGGTCAGCGTCAGGCTTAGAGGCAGAGCCCTCACGGTCCTGTAAGCACCCTGCGTGCTTAAAAACAGCCACTCCTGCTAGGAAGCACTCAGACAGAGGTGCTCCCTGTGTGGATGTAGCCCCACTGATACATGGCCTGGCAGAGAGAAGGTGCCCCCTGCTTTGGGCAGAAACAACCTAGCACCAAGATGCAAGGAAGAAAAGCTCAAACGGCACTTCAGCCCCTCCTTGCCCACGTCCCTTGCTGGTCAGGTGCTTTTGTGCAGTGCAGGGCGCTAAGTGCCTTCACCCACGCACCATGCATGGTGCTCCTGATTCAGGCCCCCCCTTAGCACTGAAAGATACAGTGCACACCTCTGTATCAAGCCACCCAAGCAATGTCTCTTAATGACAGTACAGGTCTGCTCAAGTTAAAAGGGCTTCTTTCTAGATGGTCTCTACCCCACTTTTCCTTAACCTTGCCCTTGGACTCCAGCACTGGTTCTCTCCTTGAAGGCCCCCCCCTCAGGGGAGGGGGCCATATGCTCCTTAGAGCCTTCCAACCCAGGAGTCTCAGGTCTTCCACTGCTGGCTTTGTAATGCAGTAGGCCCCTCATCCATTAACTCTTTGTACTGTTAACTTTTTCTCCCACATGGTTCAATTATCCAACTACTACACTAAATTCCTTAAAAGCGGGGAACTTCTGGGTTTTTTTTTTCCCCCACCGCACTCAGCTCAGCATTTTGCTCACAGAGGTCATTTATATGTGTCGACTGATGTGAGATTAATACTGCAGTGTCTCAAAGAGGAAGTGAAGTTCACCTACAGGCCAATTCAAGTTTAGGTTTTTGTTTACTTAAAGATGCTACGGAAACTCAGCCATGTTAATTCCTACCACAGGAGAGAAGATTCCACAAGCGCCCCTTCCCAGAGGTGTTTGTCAGCAGCTATTGAAATGTAGAATCTCAAACAGCAGAGACTGCCTGTCTCCCGAGTGAGCAGAGTGTGTGAGGGGAGATGGAGTGCTTCCCCATGGCCTCTTGGGAACTGAACAGTGACTGTCAGCGAGGCGCACAAGGGACATGAAATAACAGGCTCACTGAAATCATGAACAGAAACGAATCTTTTTCTTTTTTTTAAGAAGACAAGGCCCCTTCAGCGACATAAACTAAAAGAGTCAACAACAACAACAATAATAATAAAAAAAAGCAATCTTCCTCTTTCAATACACATTTATTGGAAGAATCCCAGCTGATAGGGCAGGATACTCAGAGCTGGGCTAGAGAAAGAGGTAAGTGAGGGACAGTTGAAAGTATCCATAGAAGCAGCAGGCGATGCTGAGGACAACCTTCACTTGGCCACGGCAGGTAATCTCCTGCCTCTTCTCCCATCTCCAGCCTGATATTAGCAGCAATTATGGGCCCTGAAAGCTTTCAAGTAGGAATTTCAGAGCAGCGAGACACATGCCACTCTTGTACCAACCAAGCCTGACATCACCGACTAAGGGGATAGCATTTTTATTAGCGGCTGTGACGTGCTGGTTTCAGTAAGACACTGCCACACACTGTTACACAATCTATAAATAAAAAACAAAAACAGGTTGGACAGTCCCTATCAACAGTCCAATATTTGTCAATTCCCAGACCTCAGTAGTTGGATAGCTGGATTCGGATTTCCCAAGTATCTGTAGTCAGACTTAAAATCCTTATATGGGGTCACCTATAATTCCCCCCAGAGAGAGTCTCTGTGAATGGAAGGGCAACTCAACTCAGCACTCAGTTCTCCTGTCACATCAGTCTCCCAGGCCCCTGTCTCTCCTGCTGAGCATGTGCCACCTTCAGGCATCGTCACATACGAGTCAATGTGAGATGCTACTGAGCAGAATGATGGTTAAGTTGTATCTCAGGTAAATGAAAACAAATGCCTCACTGAGGTTCAGCCCAGGAAGCTGTGTTCCTTTCTAAGGACTGTGGCAAACCCCTGTGTTTGACTCTACTTTCAAGTTAAACTTGTTTGAGGTAAGGCATAAAAAATGCCACTAAACTCCCTTCTGGTAGTGTGGGGGAGGGTAGTTTTATCTTCACTGTAGTTAAAGAAAATCCCTGATCACCATTCCTAAATCCACAGTCTTGACCAACAAATGATTAGACAATGACTTGAAGATAGGATATGTTTTACCAGAGGATCTCCATTGGGCAAAATCCGGGAAATGGGACTGTCCTGATTCAGGCCAGGTCTGTGAAAGGAGAGTGTTGCCAAAATCCTGTACTGAAAACGTGGCTGCTGTGAACTCGTTAAGACCTGGGACTGCACAGACCCTTGTTTTTGGTGTGCTGCCTGCTTCATGGCTCCATGGCTGGCAGGCAGGGCGCAGTGCTTAGGAAGCAGAAATGGGCTACAGGGACAGAGGAGGGCTCTGGGGACTGCTGGGTAGCAGCCACGGTACAAATGGACATCCCAGTCCCCAAAAGCAGCAGAATGGGGCATGGGATGTACAGGAGTTGGTGATGGAGACCAGGACCTCCCTAAGTCCTCTTAGCTTTTCCAATTGCAGAAGCTCCCAAACTAGGTTTACATCAGGGAGAACAGTTTTTCATTTATAATCCTGATGGAGTAGACCTATGTCTAGAAACTTTAAACTTTACATCTTTGTCTATCTACACATTCGTTTCTGTGTAGCACAAGTACACAATTCAAAGGTTACAAATGGCAAAACAAATCTCCTTTCTACCGCTGTTTCATGGGGGCCCGTTTCTCCCCAGTGGTACCGCCTTTTGTTCCCAGCTCCTAGGGAGACGTTGTACATAGTAGTGTGTGTATTTTTAAAGCACCAATGATAGCATGCTATTCTATACCTTGGTTTTTTTTTTTTTTTAGCTGAGCCATCCTGCTGCCTGTTGGCAGCTCAGCAGCAGCTCAGCTCAGGCTGGGCATCAAACCGCTGTTGCTCAGAGCTCACACTCTTGAGCGAGCTCTTAACCAACTGAGCCACTCGACGGGCCCCCGTTTGTTTTTTTTTCAAAATTTACTGTATCGTGGTGCTCTTCCCAGCCAGTACACGCAGTTTCCTCATTCTTTTTAATGACTGTACAGAGCTCTACTGTAATGGGTGAATTATAATTTAACCAGTTCCTTATTGATGAGCATTTATGTGGATTTCAGCCTTATTACATATACAAACACTGCAACAAATGTCC